CAAACAGGAATGCCTGTCCCTACTCGCAAGTCAATAATTTGGTATTTGTTTCACGGCTGATTGCTCTGAAGCAACGTGAGGCAAATTAGTTGCACCGAACAAACAGTTCGAGACAAATTTTTTTATTTCTGGAAAAACCTTCCTTCCACACCACTCAGTAATATAATAGCACTTAAAATGGCCTCTAACTTAGACCAACCTGTTCACGATCAGAGATGGCAATGGAACTGCCAATGCTTGTAAAACCAATGCGGGAACAGACTTGCAATTCAATCACACTTTTTGTAAAGCAGCAGTGTTTTGTATACATTTACTTTGTAACATTTTTTTGTCTTAAAAATAGGGGGTCTTGACAGGATGTCTCCCTTTGTTGCAAAGACGCAAAAAATTAATTGGAATATGAATTTAAAGTCTGCTGTTTGCCACAGCGAGCTTATTTAGTCAGCTCTGCATTCTCATGCCTCTGTCCCCCTGATGATGATCAGTGTTCCGCTAATTCAAACACTGCATTTAATCTGACAAAGGTTTCTAAAACTCCTATCATAGTAATCAATATGCTAAAACGACACCAATATAAAATGTAAAACTTCAAAATGATTTAAGCCCTGAAATAAAAACCTTTTACTGCTGATGTCTCGAGTTTATTACACAAGGACTTCCTTCAGGAAAATTTTAACAGGTATCTTACGCAGAAAGAATAAAAACCTGAAGCAGATTCTGCAATCAAAATGAGCTTCCGAAATGCTCCACTAATGGACTGCTAATTCAAAGATTCAGAAACAAGTTGTGAAGGCATCAGAATGTCAGATGTTCACAAACCTGTGGCATATCGTACCATTTTGCGAAATAAGGACTTGCGTGTAACCTGCCTCTTGGCATAGTTCACGAACATTTGATAAAGCGGTTCACAAAGGAGTAACTGAAACTGTGGTGCGCCGTCTGTCAAAGCTGAGAAGGCACGCAGAGATGTAAGAAATGAACCAATTATAAATATTAAAGATAGTTCTAAGAACTAAAATAACGTCTGACTAAAAAACAAGAACGAATAACGTCGTTTTTATTGTTGAAAGGCTACGTTTTCTTGCTGCTAGTATGAGCGACACTGCTATCCACATCAGTCAGGAAAAACATCAAACAGTTAATCAAATGAAAATTTAGAAGAGTATCACTGCTCTAAAATCATAATATTTTCCTGGGCTTTTCGTAAATCAACCTCACAGAGTTCAAAGTACACTTCTAACGCATCACCCATATGTGTCATTCCTAACGATATCATTTCGTGCATAAAAATGTTGTAGGACGTCTAAAGAAGCTGATGTTGAAAACACTGAATCATCATCAGTCAATGTCGATCCACTGCTTGATGAAGGCTTCTCCAAGACCGTGCCATAGACCTAGCCATAACACAAAGGCATGTTCCCAGACAGGAACATTTTCGGTCTCCCAAAACTGCTTCGTATCACTTTCATTCTATTGTTGATATCAGAAGGCCAGGTCTTCGATGCAGAGATTGCTTTACAACTAATCGGTGAATATCAATATTATTCACTGAATCGAACATCAACCGTTAATTTCTGAAAAAACAAACTCGAAAAGAAGGTAAATAAATTTTCTAAGGAAGCCAGGGAAGTAAGCAAAGAAAACGACAGCATTTTTATCACATATTTGAAGGTGGAAACCGCGAATGCGCAACAACAGTATGGTGAAATTATGCGCAGCAGCAAATTGGAATTCACTTGAACTTTAACAGAAATTAATCACTTAAGAGTACAACCAGACAAAATTCTTGTTATTACACCTGTATCTAGATTGAATTCAACCCCACGAGGAAAGATCACCAAATTAAGACTACGGAAAACTGAAAACAGAAATCACACTTACTCTGCAACAAAACAGAAGTACAACGATGTACAACAACGAATCTAAGTGAGCAACGGTACAAGGCGCAACGCAGTATCCGATAACAGTGAACCTGTTTTAGATTAGTGACTATCGCTTAGAAATAAGCGCTCCTAAGCACAGCAAAAGGGCCCAGAATTTGATAAACTAACAGTATCGCGTTGTATTCAATTTAAGACGACGACACAATTAAATTTTACTCAATGCAAACCGAAGCCAACTCAAAACTCGCTCCTACTGACACATAAGCAACAAACTTGCTATTTTAAACGAAGAACTCCAAATGACGTTATGCTACAGTAAAAACCAAGTTAACCTGAAAATCAGACAGCAATAGAAGGATTCTGTTGATGAAATCATTCGCTGTAAACAAGGGGTGATGATGCGTATTTGTCCTTTTATGTAGAGTTATAAGCCAATTCTTTTTGGGAAACTACAAAATTCTTTGACAATTTCAAAGCATTTCTGCTTGTTCTGTAGCAAAGTCAATCGGCCTAACGATGTGATGCTACTTTGTGTCTCGTGTCACAGGCGCTGAAATGAAATGAAGCATGAGTCAGCTTAAATTACCACTGTCGTTCTAAAGACAAGAAAACCGCATG